CTGACGCTACAGCTTCCATAGCAAACTCACGCAAGAGCCTCAGCGCCTGGGTCCCTGAATATTGGAAATCCGGCAAAGAGCGACGGTCCGACGAGGGAGATGAAAGGACCACAAGGGGAGGACATTGGAGGAGAGGGGGAGGACATTAGAGGAGACGGAGAAGGACATTAGAGGATGGAGGACACATGGAAGATTGAAACCGAGACGGGCGCCGTTTAATACCCATTTCCCCGCTTCCCCGTTGTCATCCCCGTTATCTCCGCGCTCCCTCTCCCTCTCTCCCTCTCTCTCATCTCCCCTCTCTCTCTCTCCCTCTCTCTCTCTCTCCCTCTCTCCGCCTTGTTTGCCTGTAACGTGTAACTCAAATTTCAAAATAACTAATAGGAGACGTCAATTACGACCCCCCCCCCCCCCCCCTCTCACATCACCGCTCTCCTTCTCTCTGAGACCAACGGATGTTTATGAATGGAACATTGAGCTTCTATCCTTTATGTCCTTTCCCTGCGTTGTCCCCCTTAAAGGGTCAAAGGTCGTCTCATTAAAGTGCTGTTTGTTTTTATTGTCCGATGAGACATCGAGTTTTAACGTTGGATTCACGCATCTGTCGCCCGAGCGGAGCTCCCACGCGCTTGTTTCCTCTGTAGATGCTCTATGTGCTGACCCATAATCAATAACATGAGTCAGGTGGAGTTACGGCGTCTCCGTCTCACGCCGCCGCCGACCAGTCAAGTCAAAGCTAACGTCCATTTATGTCTCTTCAAAATGAATGTGATCGCCACCGAAATCTAGTTCATCTAGTTCCTACTCCTGAACCTCAAAAGCTGCGGATTTCGGATTTGATTGTGTGTGTGCGTGTGTGTGTGTGCGTGTGTGTGCGTGTGTGTGTGTGTGTGTGTGTGTGTGCGTGTGTGTGTGTGCGTGTGTACGAGGACCTTTTGCCGTTTGCCGGTTTACGTGTGTGAACGTGGAAATGAGGCTGCCGAACGACCTTGTCGGTCCTGATGCTAAATCGTTGTCACGGCAACGGAATCAGCTCCCGCCATGTGCCGGCCTCTCCATCTGCTTCATTATCCCCCCGTCCTCACCCCTGTCCCCCCCCCCACCCCTTCCCCTTGTCTTCCGTCCCTCTCGGGTTTAATTCAATATAAACCGCCGTCGGTGAAATGAAATATGCGGGTGCACTCTCTCCGTCTCGCGTCCACTTTCCTTCCCTTTTCTCACCCGTCCTCCCCCGTGTGGCATTCCCTTAGGTCTCTCTCTCTCTCTCTCTCTCACACATCCGCCCACCAGGTCTCTCTCTCATGTTTCCCCATCATCTCTCTTCGGATATTCCTCCGCTGACTCGTCCTCTCTTGAAGCAACATCTTAATTAGCAGCTGATTATAGATGAACAGTTGTTCTGTTACCCCCCCGCCCCCCCCACACACACCTCTGTCCTGTCGATTCCTCTCGACCTCCCTGACTGACAGTGATGAATTTAATTATCAGCAGACACGACGCCAAATATTTGACCGCCTGTTTGCCGTCCTCACTTTCATCCCTTTCTCACTCTCCCTCCGTCTCACACGTTTCCGCCCACCACCCTTTCTCGCTTTTGGTTTTCCTCGCCACTTCTTCTCCCGAACGCGCTGTATTATTTGACTTCATTACCAACAATGAACGGATGTTGAGCCTCCTTTTGGGTTCACGCTCCGCTTCTCCCTCACACCCGTCGACCTCTGACCTCACGGACTGCAGACCAATTACCATTTCATTTGTCATTATCGCGTCGCTCATTTGTTCCCGTCCCTTTGTGATTCAGGCCCCAGGATGTGGATGTGTGTCAGAGAGAGAAACGCAGCGGAGCGCTGATGCACTCGATCACCTGGAAGGAGAACCTGCAGGAACATCTCAGAAGAACCGTTACCTTCTCTCCCCGCAGTGTTGTTTTCAGTCTTTGGTGAAATGTTGCCTGCTAATAAGAAACGTATTCATTTATTGTGTTATTTTAATTTGAGATAAATTCTATCTGATCAACACAGCAGACGCAGAGAGGAAGGATTTCATCTCTTTGCAGAGCTTAAATGGAAAGATTCTCATCCTGTATAATCCTTATAATAATAGTAATGATATGTGATAACACTTATCCAATAGAGTCTGTTTAAACGTCTGCAGTATTTTGTAGATAATAGGCGCCGGTCCACTGTGTATGTTTATGTGCAGTATTAAATAAAGACATTACAATCAACAACCACCGATGAGGCAGGAGCTAGAAAGCTAAAAGAGAAATCTGCAATAACATAAATACATATGTTTCCCTAAAATTAATTTCTTCATCCTATTATTTATTTATTCTGTATTTATTATCTTAGTGAACGAACACTCCAGCAGAGCGTCTGTGATTTGTAGCTAAATGTCACACGTTTTCGCCGGAAGCGCCAAATCCAATTAACAAAAGCCCCGGTAACTATGGCGATGAGCATCCTCGACGAAGCCCGGTGTAACTTATGCACGCACAAAAAAAAAAAAAAAAAACACAGAGGCCAAGAGGTTGCTATGACAACTGGAAGGGAAACAACAAAGGCAGAGGGAAAGTTGGAGAAGGCTGCATACGTTCATACACTCACTAAATATCAACTTCATAAGAACGGATTTAAAACCATCAGCTGCTCCCTGGTCATCCCCCAGCATGCATCACTCACGCCGCACTGAAACCATGGTGAGCCACTCCGTCTCCACCGTCTCGTCCACGCGTTCTTTGCTCTCTTCTCTGGAACATCCCCAGCGGTCTGTCTTTGTACAGATGTGTTACAGGCAGCAGCTCGTATTCCGCCACAGGCTTCTGCACACTGCGCCGGGTAATTGGGAGATGAATGTAGGGAGAAGTGTCATTGCTTAATAAGGGAGTACGACGAACCAAGGTTTTAAAAGCGGCATGGAATAAATCAGTCCTCCTGAATATGACCTTGTGACCTCCTGCTGCCTGAACAGCCTCGTAATCAGACATTTAAAGACATGATCCTTTATTCGTCCTGTAGTGAGGAAAATCAAACGTTCACATTCAACCACGTTTTAAAAACTATCCAGTCATTGCTCTTTCTTTGCACATATTTACATCAAAGAAGTCTTTTTTTCTCGTGTTGTGCCCACAAACCCTTTTGATGAGCAGGGTTTGGGATGTAGCAGCAGGTGGTGAGCCGGCGTAAAAGCCAAACATGTATTAATAAGACTCGCTAGTAGGAGACAGAGTGGACACGCGCACATTCATGAAGGCTTCTAGAGGAGCTTCTGCTCCGAATCCAGATCATATCGTGAAAACAACGCATACAAAAGCTTGATGCGACGCACACTAAAGCGACAACATCTGGACAAGAACTGCCCAGCTGTTCTTCAAACAGCAAAGAGTGTTGATGATTGTGTGCGAGGAGGCTTTTCTTTGCACTTGGAACATAAAACTGTGAGATTATCTGGACGCATAAATCATGTTTACCATCAGAGAACACGAGAGAGAGCGCCGACTCGCTCGTATTATTATATTATTTACTTATTATAGTTTTCCCAATCGTGCTCAAGTCCTAAAGACACGAGTCTAACCAAGTTCTGACAAAGACGTTTTACTGGAGTTTCATGTGTCACAGTGAGTCATTGATAACGGAAACGCGTAGACTTCTAAAAACTAAGGTCTCCAGATTGTCTTGAACACTTTTTAAAAAAAGTCAAAATACGTAAAAAAAAATATTAGGTTAAAAACTCCCAAAAATGTTAATGTTGAATATGTTTGGTCGAAAAATGATAATAAAAAGGTCAAATGTTCCAGAGGACTTCAGAGTAAACCTGCTTCTGGTTCACGGTCAGTGTGTTAGGTTGCTAAGGAGAGACCCCCCCCTGTGAATAACATTCATATTCAATAGAACATTACTTACCAAGTTGACAGATAACTATTTTCTATCGATAGTTTACTGACTTGCTGAGGAATAATAATCCAAAGCTATTCTCTCTTTTTGATGTCAATTTACAGGCAGCATCCGGCAAACTGTTGTCAAATAAACTGTGTTTTCAAATGTGTTCTTTCCACCAGGCTGAAAGAAATGTGATCAAAGCTGTGTTTCTGTGTCTGGCCTCACGATGTCGTCAATTAAAAGTGCAGGTGAAACATCTGGTCGGACCAGACAAACATCTGAACACTGAGCTCGACAGCTCGGTGAAGTAAAGTAACCCAAATCTGTCTCCCGAGATATTCTTAACTGTTTATTTAGAACTACGCACAATCAAAACACATGTTTCCGTCAGTAGCTTTTCTGAATTCAGTCATTAGTGGAGAACATCTCGTTCTCTCATGTGTCATCTATGATAAAACCACCAAGCCGGCTAAAAGATGAAATATGAAAATGTGAGCTCCCTTTTACATCCCTTCAAAGACCCGATACTTTAAATAAAAAATAGGCTAATAAAAATAAGCTTTAGCTTCATGGGATATAAATGATGAATAAAATACTGCTTGATTTGAAGTGTTGATCAAATGTACTTAGTTTGAAAATTTAATTTGACAGTTTATGTCACTGAGGAGACCAAATGGGAGAGAATTGAATGCACCTTCAGAAAACTGGAGGAAACAATGGTGTGTGTGTGTGTGTGTGTGTGTGTGTGTGTGTGTGTGTGTGTGTGTGTGTGTGTGTGTGTGTGTGTGTGCTAAATTAATCAATACTGCCTCCAATCAGAAAGGTGTCTGTTGGTTAAAATAAAGACTGAGGAAAATCAGAAACCTTTTTCCAATCAGAGAGGAAAAGTGTGTGTGTGTGTGTGTGTGTGTGTGTGTGTGTGTGTGTGTGTGTGTGTGTGTGTGTGTGTGTGTGTGTTGTGTCTTTGTTTTATGACAGTGAGCACAAAGTTGTAACACTCAATGAAACATTCCCCGAAAAGATTGCAATGCTTCCCCGTTTTCCCCACATTTCCCTGCTAATCAGAGCACCACACTCACACTCACACTCACACTCACACTCACAGGCGATAAAGGAAACACGCACAACGCTGGCCAGTAATCTCCTCAGCAATCACAAGGTTTGACTGTTGGAACGGAGCAAAGTTCATCTCGTCATGGACAACAACAGAGGGGGAGTTTCTACCAGCGGGAGACGGGCCGGGACAGACAGACGGGAAGGACACTTAAAAAGACACGTTAGAAAGAAAGACGCACAAAGAAGAGGTCACAACTTTCACCTGCGGACTGGAACAAAGCGTTGTTTCTCCCCAAAGGAATCATTGCTTTGGATTATCTCTCTGTGTCGGGACGACGGGGCACCGGCTCTCTGCTCACAACGTTCCTTTAAAGCTTTTTGGGGAACCTGAAAACCCGTAAGTAGATATTTTTTGAATTTAAACGTCTATCGGCTGCGGCGCCTTTAAAGAATCAAAATGGTGCACCTGTGAAAGTGGTCCAGTAAAGGACACTCTGACCTCAGCGCCAGTGGATTTGTTTTGGATCCCTTCAACCATTAAGGAAAGGACACATCGGCCCTCACGCCTTTAAATTACCCTCACATGTGTGTCCTCAACAATAAAAGCCAATAATCTGATTAAGATTTTACAATTTCTTTAGTTCACAACGAAATTATTTCTTCAGTCTGGGCTTAAAATTCTCTAGTAGATTAAAAGTGCATTTACTCGTATTTGCAATAACTTGCTGCAGTATATTCTTAGAAATACTAACTTATCCTTACTAATTATACCACGTAGATTAAATAGCATATGTGTCGATGTGATGCAGGTACAAACAAGTGCTGTACGAGACACGAAAAACAAGGAAACCTTTGCTTTAAAAGGGTCCTCGATGTTTGTCGACCTCCACCAGCTGAGTGCTCATTAACCGTATCCCCCCCCCCCCCCCCCCGCCTGCAGGAGCAGCATGGAGGTGGCGAGCGGCCTCTGGGCCGACCTGGCTCTGCTCCTCCGGCGGACGGACAGGGAGGCGGACGGCTTCCTGCCTCTCGGCCTGTTCGGCCTGCTGCTGTTTCTGTGCGTCTGTCTGCTGCTGCTGCAGCTGATCGCCTACCTCAGCTGGAAGCTCACGCAAGGTACACAACGGCCATTAGCTTCGGATTATATGTCAGCTAAATGTTCTCATGTATGCCAACGTGCAGAGAAAACGGGTGCCTTAGTATCTGAATGCAGACAACCGACATCGTGTTGTCAAAGTCTCATGTTCACGTTTTCATTTGATCGAAAGCTGACAGCTCATGTTCATCAAAAGGTAGAAGAAACGTCTCGAGCCACAAGCTAAATAATGGAAACCTCCTGCATAAGCTGCAGATAAGACTCTGGTAGGCCGAACCGTTACTTTGGTGCTTTGACATTAAACACTGACACTTCGTCACGGACCTCCTTCGTCATCTGCAGGTCAACTGAAAGAGGAAAACGGTTGTCGGTGATGTGGAACCGATGCGCCACTGAGAATTATTAGTAAGTGAGTTGGGGGGGGGTTTTTCACATCGTGTTCTCCACCGAAGAGAAACGTGGTCAGTGAGAGCGGAGCCTTAAAGCCCAGAACGGGAAGACGCCTGGATGTTTAGTCTGGTTCAGAGCCGCCGTGTCTCACGTGTTCAGAGAACGGGGCGATTGTTCAAAGGTGCGACGCGGCCGGATAAACTCAAACGTTCCAACTCAAAACCCCAAATGAAAGTTCAGAATTCAGATCTGCTCCTGAACTTCACAAGTTTACTTCATTCTTCTGGGCGAATTCATTCATTTTTTTATTGTACTTTTTGGAGTTGAGGGACAGGAGAGATTGAGGAAGGATGGAGGGGGGGGGGGGCATCATCCTCCTCCTCCACATCTCATCACTTATCTGCAGTCTTTTTCATCTCCTCCTTCAGCATTTTTTTCAGCTTTTCATTTTCTTCAGCCGTCTCTCTGCCGCCATCTTCCTGCGGAACCAGAAGCCTCTCCTCAGATTTGGGAGAGTGGAGCTTCTTTGCTGCTCAGCTGGTTCATGGTCCCTGTTAACCAACCAGAACAGAAGTAACTCGTTACATCAAAAGGGTCCGATTTGCTTCTTGTGGCTCCTGAAGTTGCCACATTTAAAACGCATGAAAGAGGGTAACCGGTAGTTTAAATTACGAGCGCTAAGAGCGCTCTGGAGGTGTGACGGTACAGCACGACTATAATCCACGTTGTTTGTGTCTTTTCCTTACTCTCCTTCCTCCAGTTGATGCCGATCTGTCGGCGTTTCTGCAGGAAACGCACCTGACCACGACGCACACGTCATCCACACACCGGACTTCTTAGAACGCACTGAGAGGAAGTCCTGAGAAGCGTTACAGCGAGGAGGGAAATATCTCAGGCGAAATGAGAGAAATGTTGACGCCTTTGAAGGAAATGTTTACTGTGGAAATGATCTTTCTGTTCTTTTAGCCCCCTGGAGACGTCTGTGACTTTATGGAGCGCCGCAGGAAGCTTCTCTTCTCACTGTGCGCTTCATCCTCTCGTGAACGCTCGGGACAAACTGTCCCTCCGAAGTGATGATTCAGACAAACACAAAGCATCTGACAACAAACGAGGTGACCAGCAGGTTTCAGAGTATAACAATCCTTTATTTAAACAGTGTTACTCGGGGAGGGGTGGCTGTGGGGGGGGTGTGCGACACAAGACAAGTAAGCTGCTGGAGGGTAGAAACCCAACCGCTGATCAGGAAACAACGAGGCGCCCGTGGGTGGTTTCACAAAACGTGTGTGGGGAGAATTACATTTTTCGGAGGGGGGGTCTTTAGTGGCAACAATGCAAAATGATGACTCACACGGCCTGAGATGTTTCTGTACAGAGAAGGTGGCCCAATTGTTTATTACCTCCCCCCTTAAAAGCTTTCATCGCACGGAGAGACGAGCTTTAAATTAGATCCAATCTAACAGCAACCGTGTGAATGTAGTCCAGATCCCCGACCGGTTTGAAAGCAGCTGGTGTAGAATCGTCGTCTCTGCTTCCAGTGACATTGTGTTGTTGCCACGGAAACCACTTAAAACTTTCATCACTGCTTCTTAAAGAAATAAAAATGTCCAAGGACAAAAGAAAAAAACAGTCATTTGTGATATTTACTTTTTCTTTGCTTTTCTAATACAATTCAACATTTTGAAAAACCGACCCATGGCCGCTCTTAAAACTCGTGTGATTGGTTAAAACGGAGCCCCGACCCCTGAAAAGAGGTTCAACCTTGAGCCAAACGGTACGAAAACATGAAATTGGATTTTAAGTGGTGATTCTTTAAATGTCAAAAATAAAAATAGCCAAGCAGGTGCACAATAAATGCACCTTCCCACAACCAGGTGACAGAGAAAAGATACCCAGCTACAATCTACATATATAGATGTTGCGACATCACCGATGCTATTTTTAAAAGTGTTTTTTTTTTGGAACAGCAAACGCTTCCAAAGCTGCCTCATGTTGCATGTTTGTTTGTTTGTTCTTTAAAAGGGGGTTTTCTGTTTTGCCTCTTTGCAAGAGGGTCAGAGGTTAAAGCTTCCCCCTCATCTGGAATGTGGTTTCCCTGCATAGTCGACGCAAATGCAACCTAAACGCTACTTACATGTGGAGTGAGTGTGTGTGTGTGTGTTAGTGTTTCCTCATTTCAAGAGATTCATTACTCCCAGTAATCCCAGTGCCTCCACGTCCAGTCTGACCGGGGGGGTAAAACGGATGTAGGCAGGTACAGGTGGAATGTTTTCACATCCATTCTTTGCTTCAGAAAAATGGGTTTTTTCGAGCCTCGCACCGAAAAGTTGATTTAATCCGTCCGGGCCGAGCAGCTCCCTGTGACTCGCTTAATGCCACGAAATAAGTCGGATTATTTGGTCGCGATGAATGAAAACGGTTTTCAACACCTACGCGAGGTCAAAGGTCACCTCACGTCTGCACACTGACCAGTCGAGGCGTCTGGACCTGCTCAGGATAATAAAAACGTGCAAGCACGGTGGAGGTGGGGGGGGTTGTGTTGCTATCGTGTAGTCTGGAGTGACACCAAGTGCTGAACGGTGACCTCGGAGTTTAGAAAAATCAGAAAAAAATCCCAGTGTGCTGATTTTTGGGGAAAAACGGTTGTTCGAGTGGTTCTGACCGCGAGTCGCCGTTTTGGTACCTGTGGTTGTGCAGACTGCGTAAATAAACACGTCTAAAGATCATCTAAAACTGCAGAATAACTTGTGACATGCGTCCGCTTCTTCTCCCAGTTATGCCTCAGTTCACTGGTCCTCTCTCCCAATCAGAAGCCAGCGTACTGCTCCCTTGCTTCCCCGTGGCCCAATGGGAATGGCTGGTGTCGTCATGTGGGCGGGCCAACGGAGAGCTGCTCCCGTCTAATAACCGTCACGTTCGCTACAGACGCTTGAATGCAGCAGCTTTAAAGTCAGTTCACTTTCAGCCGGTTTAGTAAAAGTTGACTCTAAAACACAGTAAAACGTACAAATGTATCACAAGGAATTAATTTTTGGGCTTCTCAAGCTTGAAATGTGTCAACGCCAATTTCCCCGCTAAAACGTCAGTGAACTGAAGTGACAAGCTGCTGGTCCACACACACGGAATGTAGATGAATATGAAAGAAAAACTTAAGAGACAGTCATGGAAACTCAAAAACCTGATTGATTGGTTTTTACCGCAATGTTTTAAGTGACAGCTCCCAGTTTTCTGTATTCGTTAGTAATAAAGTGTGATGGTGTCCGAGCAATTTGCTTTATTTAGCTTGATGTTACAATCAAGTAAGAAAAGAATCAGGTTTGTTTTTCCTGCAGTCCTACTTTAACAATTTGATAATTTTATAGTACGTTACTCTCCATTTACAACACAGTGGAGGGAGGGAGCTGTAATTTAACAAATTACTTTGTTTTTTAGAAATGTACTAATATCAGAACAAGAGTCCAAAAACCAGCTCTGTCAAATCAGTTAAAGTTAAAAAACGTCTTCTATTTTTTAAATTTAGAAGCGTTAGATTTGAGTGATGGATTAGTTATTGATTGTCAGTTACAGGTGAGATTATCAGTACAATCGTTTCTATCTCATCAGGGTCGGTCTTCAGTTCATTCACATGACGGATGCACCAGATCTCATTTTGTAGAACAGTAAAAAAAAAGAAGAAAAAAAAAGCACTATTAAAAAATAGAAACGCGCTACAAACAGTTAAGCTAACAAGTGGTTCTCTTTTGTTCCCTCGGAGGAAGAGGGGAACTTAATTTGTTTTTCTGTATTTCGGAGCGAGGCGTTTTAGGCGTGTAAGAAAAGACCGACTGGGGAGAGATTGGACACTTCTCTCCACTATTGCCTTCTCGGCACCACTTCCTCCTCCGCCTCCTCCTCCTCATCAGTTAAGGTCTGTTGTCTTGGGGTGACGAAGGCCATCCCGATGGGGCTCTTCCCCTCCGGGGGAAAAAGAGGCAAAGGCAGTCAGCCCGAGCAGCGTGACGACACTCTACTTGAAACATTAAAACCTCCATCAGCCACCCCCCCCAACCCACCCCCACCCAACCCCCCCCAACCCCCCCCAACCCCCCCCAACCCCACCCCCCCTTCCTGCGTTTGATATTCCTCTCGCCTCCAACTCTTCTGTCACTGTGACTGATGGTTTTACCAAGTTTCCTTTTGTTCCAGGTCATTTTCGTAAAAAAAACCCACCATGTTCATAAAGACCTCCGATGTTTCTTTCGCCGTGAATAATAATAATAATAATAATAATAAATAGTTCCTATTATTATTATTATTACCTGAGTCCAGTCAATCCTCCTCCTCAGCCAGCTCAGTTTCTTTATGAACCACCACTCGGGTAACCGACATGTCGGGATGCTGCTCTTTGGCCTCCTTAATGGCCTGGGCCAGTGCCTGCAGTAACCGGGGGCAACCGAGCGGCGCGGGAGGTGGAGGGAGGGAAAACGGGGGAGTTAAATGAAAAAACAAGCATAATGAAAATGACAAAGAATGCTGGATTTACAATCAATGTGTGACTGGTGATATTTTACTTCTTTGGGGGAACTGAATGTTTGTTACTGGGGGGGGGGAAGTAAAATACCTTAGAGACACATCAAATCCAACTTAAAATAAATGTAAATCCAGCAAATCAAACCAGTGGACGAGGGACGTGCATGAACGGAATACATCTATTTCTTCGTCTATTAACTATTTCAGATACTTTAAGGGGGCTTCATGCAATTTCCTCTCCAGTGAGAAGCCAGAGAGCCACTAATCTTACCAATATCTTAAATTTAATTCCCTCATGAACCAACGTTGAAGATTTTTTTTTTTTACTTTCAGATGTGATAACATCGCATGTAGCTTCATCACATCCAGGACAACATGTAGAATACATATGAAACAGGATGGGCCGACAAAAAAAGAGGAGGTCAGGACGCCGTTTCCCCAGACGCATGGACGGAGTGGGACTGATCACACGTCCGAGCGGTTCATGAATCCCAGACACGTCAGCAGAAGTGTTCCCTCCCTGGTGAGAAGGAAGCGGCCCGTCGGATACCGACCTGGTCGTGGTCGATGTCACAGTCGCCGGTGATGACGATGCGCTTCTCGATCCTCGTCTCCGACAGGCCGCCCTTTAACGTCTGCAACAAAAACACACCACAACAACGCTGCGGTACGGCTGGACAGGTGGCGCGGAGACGGAGACAGTTCGACAGCAGAGGAGTCGATATATCGGTGACGTGTGCGTGTACCTTGGTGATGTGTGTGGTTGTGGTGGTACACAGGGATTCAGACGTGATCGTCTGGGCCGTCATCAACACTCCAGGCTCGCTGTCGCCGTTACCATCCAGCTGGTAACCAGAAGGGAGGCGGGAGGGACAACGAGAGATCATTGGCTGCGCGTTAGCATTAGCATATCCCCGTCGGGACGCTCCACATAAACCTTTGTTTTCCCAACAAACAGATGAATGATTTCCCCCGAGGACGGAGCGCCGACGTTACATCAGTGCTTTCAAAACGGAACGTTATAAAACCTCCAAACAATAATGACATCGAAACGTTTCACAGACACAACGCGTGACACACGAACAAGGAGAAAATGAACAAAGGCCCCCGGTGTGGCTGCAGCGTGCACCTGTGCGGCTTCGTATGTGATGGTCTTGGTTTCCGTGTGTACGATGGGCACTTCTTTTGTAGCTATCTCAGTTTTCTGGGCGGCAAACGTGTCTGATATAGTCACCATTTCTGTCTTTACCACAGGTGGCTGGGGAGGGGGGAGAGAGAAGTGAGGGGGGGTGAACACAGAGAGAGGGTTAGTCAAACCTGAGAGAGTTAAGGTAACAGAAAGAAACATGTTGCCGTCTGGCTTTAGATTTCACTTTGTGTGTGTTGAGATAAAATAATGTGAATGCAAAGCGTGTGGCGGGTTCTGATCACACGTAGCGTGCTGGCGGATATCTGCCAGTACACGCAGAACAAACCATGCAAACATTAACAGATCAAAAGCTTTCAAACTCATGCCGGCAAAACGTCACGAAACTCCACCACGACTACTTCCAGCAATGCAAGCGAACAGCAGCAGCAGCAGCACGACTACCGGAGGAACCCGCCGCAACGGCGCTCATGTGACCTGATGGACAATCGAGCGCACGGAGGCGACATTCAGACGGGGCGGGCGGCGTCCCTCCGAGTGGTTGGCAATGATGGTTTCCGCAACACCGTTGCCATGGGGACCGCGACTGTCCGGTTACTACGCTGAACGGGAGCATCAGTGCCAAACACGTGGAGGGAACTCTAAGAACACACGCACACGCACGCACGCATGCACGCCGGAAATGTGGCATGCAGAACAAAACGGCCCCGTGCATCCCCTGCTCAGCGCCCCCCCCCCCCCGTTGACGACACCAGACTAAGATGCACGTGCAGAGCAGGAGGCGGATACACACTACGGCACTAGGCTTGGCGATGGCGGCGTGAAGTAGTATGATGATGGTGGATGTCACAGAAACTAAAACATATACACAAGTGCGGCTGCGGTTGGCGAGTTGACACCAAAGCGGCGGCGAGGGGGTCGCGCCGTCACGTGACCCCCCAGGCGGATTTAACTGTACTTCCTTGGTTTTAGACTTAAAGAGTTTCCACAGAGCAGAAAAGGTGTGGTGTGAGGATGTGCGTGGGGAAACCGGCACACTGCGGGAAGCAGGAAGGAGGGAAACAATGTGGGTGTCTCTACGGTCGGTGGGCGGGATCAAAGCCCCCGGGGGCGGGGCCCAGTGAAGACTTTACCTCAGAGCAACAAATAACCTGTGGCCGGTGTTCCGCCTCGACCGGGCGGGCTTCTCCGTTCACTTTGGGTTCTTGGTCTTGCTCCGCCCCGCTGGCGCTCCCCTCCGGCACGCGGGGGCCATTCGGGGCCGCGGCGTGCGCCGGCTCGCCGCTGCCGTCCTTCTCGGCTTGGTGCTCCCCCTCCGTGTTCTTCTCGTCCCGGGCGTCCGCGGGCGCGGACTCCTCTACGGCGGCGCTGACTTCGTCTACAAGGGGAGGAGCCCCCGCCGTCTTATCCGCCTGCTCTTCCTCCTCCTCCTCTTCCTCCTCTGGTATTTTTGTGTGGCAGATGGAGACGTTCGGATGGTACTCGGCTTCCTCTTCGCTCTCGCTCTCTGAGGAAACGCTCTCCTGCTTCGCCGCTTTCGCTTCCTCCGCTGCCACTACTTCCTGTCCGACCGTCACTTCCTGCTCTAGTGCTTCCTGCTGTGCGGGGGGGCCGGCGGGGGGGCCGGCGGTAACCGCGACGCGTCCGGGTTTTGGTGCTATGGAAACCTCTTGGACGACAACGGTTTCCTCGATTTCAACTTCGGTCGTCTATACACACGCACACCAAACACGCATACAGATGTACACACCAAGTGCACACACACACACACACACAATGATGTGCGCACACATACACAGCAAACGCATGGGGACAGAAAAAAAACAACAAAAAAAACATAACGTGATCATTAAAGATAAACAAATAAAAATGTACATGACACACAACGCAAAATGAAAGATGAAGATGGTCGACTGTGGACAAGAAAGGCACACGGATGTCAGAGCGAGGAGGACAGAGTGATGCCAGAGGAAGGCGGCGGATGGAGGGGAGGAAGCGCCACGCATGGAAGGCTGCATGGACGAATGGAGGAAAAGTTAGATCCACCTTCGCAGGTTCTTTGGTGTCAGCGATGGAGTTTTTTTCGGCCACGGCAGCAGCCTCCGCCGGGGACGGACTCTCCTGCGTGACAATCACACACAAAGCAGTGACATCATCGGTCAGGGCACAGAGGGTCGGGGGGGAAAGGGTCGAATGTGTATTCTCGGTCCCTCGCGTCTCCCGGGAGGACTTTCATGCACAACGATCGGGTCAAAGAGACGGGATGACGCAGTTGAAAGGGAAAAGGAAAGACGGACGCAGGGAGAAATAAAGAGGACGTCACATCAGTGAGCGCTTCTCCTCAAAGATGGAAACGATAAAAAGGAGCGTGGTATTGAACTCGGCGGCTTCTTTATGTGGATTTCTAAGGACTGTGAAGAGTAAACGTATGTCGTCTGTTAAGCAAAAAAAAAAAAAAAAACCCTGCCGCTTCAATACCTGCTGCTTTTTATTTCATCCCAAAGGAGCTGGTTAGAAAAAGAAAGAAAAAACGTGGTTGTTTTCCTTTTTTTTAAAATCATAATGGCGTCATAACATTAGATCTACATTCCGGGATGAATGGCCACTTAAACCGCCAGCATTCATCCGGCGCCCACAGCAGGCGGTGAGGACGTTACAGCGACGGGCCTCAGCGTTCAGTAGCAGCACCTCGGGGGCGGCGGCGGCGGCCGACGTGGTTATATCGGCGTCTAGCGTCGGGGCGGACGGAGCGGAACAAAAGCCGGCGCCTCTACTGAGGAGCGCAGACGCTATTTCCTCCTCGAGGCTCTACAGCAGAGACACAAAACACGCAGGAGGAGACGGACGGGCAGGAAATCAAAAACTAAAACAGATATGACAGAGAGCAGGCGAGCTTTACGCCGCGGTGTCTCGTGTAAACAGAAAGCAGCAGAACGTCAAACAGGAAAAACAAAAACATTTCAGCAAGTCCAGCTGAAAAGAAATAAGGAATTAGAGCAGTGCAGGAAAAAGTGCATCGAGTGATAATCGACAGAGCATCATCGTGTTTATGAAAACTCCACCGCGAAGAAAGCGTCAAAAGGACAAAAGGACCCAGCAAAGAGCGAGAGAGGAGACAAACAAACGTCTTCATCGCTGGAGGCAGAGAGACACAGTTCAGGTTGAAGTAGAAAAGGGCCTCGTGCATCTCTTCTGACACACACACACACACACACACACGTACCACTTGCTGTTGCTGTTGGACGCGTATCGTGGTGGCGGGAGAGGAGGTGAGGCGTTTCTCCCACTGGTTGGGCTGCGGAGGAGAGGGAGGAGGCGCCTCCATAAAGGAGCGTTTTAGCTGGCTAATGCTAGCTTGGTGTTTCAGAACGTCGTCTTGGGTCTTATCGTGGTCCTGATGAGGGAGGGGAGGGAGAGGAAGAGGGGAGGGGGGGGAGTCAATGAGTATGAGGAGGACGGATAAATGGAGGGACGACGGGAAGAAGAATAAATGAATGACAGCGAGGGTTGATGAGTAAAGGGAGGAGAGGGGGGGGGAAGGAAAGGTGGTCAGATGGGAGAGGGAAATGCAAAGGAATGAGGAGGGAGGAAGGGAGGGAGAGAGGGATGTGGGGAGGGGAACGTCGGGTTCAAAACAGGAACATTAGTGAGTCAATCAGGAGGAAGACAAGATGGACGCCGTGCCTCACTGGAGCCTCGTGTGAGCGGGAACGGCAGGTAACAGAAGCCTCGCACCTGGATTCTGTTACCTGTGTTCGGTCCAGGTGTGTGTGAGGTCGTAGGCTGCAGTGAAACAGGGTCTCTCCATCTTGATGAGGAGCCAGCAGCAGAGCACAATGTGGAGCTGATAGCGGACGCCCCCCCCCCCCCTCTGACCCCCCACTGCTCATCATCCTTACTGTCCTGTTTTTGTACTCTCCTCCTCCTCGTCTCTCCATCTTTACTGGTATTATTCCTCTACAGGATTCGATCACACCGATATTAGAAGATGACCCATTTTCTATGTGGGAGACGGATCACATGTCGACTGACGACACACGATCACTATCGGCCCCACGTAGCATAAAAAGCTGTCGTTTCAGCATGTTAGCAAAGGCGTCACTGGCAGCCAATCACGCGAGACGTCAGGCGAGTTAAGGCGGGGTTAGTGAGGTTAGTCGCCTGCAAATAATCAAACTCTTTGATCAATCAACGACCGGAAGATGATGGGCGGGGTTTCTTCCTTTTAAGCGCACAAAAACAGCCTTCAACATGCACGTAGCGTGCGACAGGGTCCCGTTGACACGAAGCAGCTGTTGTGAACACTCAGCTTGGGAAAAGACTCGACTACTGTTGTGTAGAAAGATACACATCAAAGAAAAATTCAGAGTCTTTGTCTCCCTCGTGCTGCACCGGGGGGGGGCGGGGGGGGGGGTAGTTTATGGATCCCCTCCGATCAACAACCCTGATACGATCAGATCGAGTTCATCTAAGATATTTAGTTTGTCTTTCAAAAGTAACACAATTAAATAATTCACTGCTGACGAATTGACACGTGCACTTTTAAGTGACGTCGGTCAGAACTATAAAGACTCGAGTCGCGTTTCCAAGCTGGTGTTCAAACTGCCCGGCGGCGTGAAGCGGGACAGACGGCGCTGAAACCACTCGACGAGAGACGCGGTTTCAGAATGAATATGAAAAGAAGTGGATGGTCAACGCGCCGGCATGCGACAGAGCCTGAGAGTGCGAGAGGGCCGCAGTCCTGCACAGTTCAGAGGGAGTTGTAGTTCTGATGGCGTCAGAGTACACAGAAACATGTAGTTCCATCAGACGACGCCAGTACCAACCTCCAACATTAAATTACTGTGCCTCACATAAATATTGTCCCCATGCACTCTCATTGGACTCTGGAAGGCAGACGCACACACACACAGTAAGAAATGAAAAAAAAGAATGAATTATTATTATTTTTTAAGTTATGCACCGTTTGACCTCTAGACGTGAGAACAATCAATGAAAAAATTATAATTAAACAAATAATTTAAGGTAATAATTTAAATAAAAAGTCTCAAACTGTGAAGAAGGCTGATGGGCACAAGTTTTATACGTTATCAAAAGAAACAAAAAGGTCATGATGCTAGTACTCAAACACATGGTGACACATAAAAGGAAAAAACACAAACCAACAACAAACCCAAATGAGCAAAACCCCCAAAACACAGACAGGAACCAGAAACCAGAGCAACCAAAGAGGGTCAGAGGTGAAAGTGCCCGTCCCACAAACAGCATCGGTTGTTGATGCAACTAGTCGGATTTATTTTTGTCAGGCGGCTGACAAATCTGAATAATGATTTTAATAAAAGGATTCCGTGTCAACATGTTCGGGCAACTTCACCCCAAAGGAGATGCAAACCAAAGCAACTCGCACCAAGCAGCAGACTAACGGACACAACAAACCAATCAGACAACCAGTACCAGTGTGTGAGGCTCGCTGGCTCCCAGTGACTGTTGATGGGGGGGGGGGGGGTCAGGGAGAGAGGGAGGACAGGTTAGGTTCACTGCATGGCCGCTCCACCAATAAAACCTGTGTCAACCATCTTTACAGTAGCTGGGGAGAAAAGGCATGCTGGGTAAAGACGGACCCTACAGACCTCGGTGGGCGTGGCTTCCGCATCACCAGGGTTCAAGTCCACCGCCTTAACCTTCAATGTCGTTGTCGTGACAAAAAATGAGCAGGATAGGGGCGCGAAGACAAAAATGGAGTGAAATGGATGATGGGAAAATCGCTCCTCCACCCGGTGGTCATGTGACCACAGGAGTAGTAACAGTCCGAGGTGGCCGATAAAAGGGAGGCAGCAGCTGCTCCGTCCGTGGCAAAGTGTCACAGTTACAACTTCAGGTACAGAAGTCCTTCACCAACAAGAGCCGACGAGTCGCCCACCCTGAGAACCGAGTCACACGCGCCGCATCTGCCACGGGTAAAACGCCGCCGCCGCTTTAGTTCCCATGGAGGTTTTTTTTACTTGCGTCAATCGTTCAATAGACTAACTCTGTTTAATATTCATATATAAGAAACCAGCTTTCTGTGGTGCAGCTTCCTGTATCTATTTGCATCTACAGTTATAACAACTAATCTTTCTCTAAACTAAAACGGCAAAATAGAGTAAACTGAATATTTAGGCAAAAATAAAACATGTTTCTGGCTCAAAAGTTTATTTATCTCTAAATATAATATATATATAATTTATTTATTTTGATTTAAGTGATATTAAGTGCATTTTTGTGCATGAAAGATCATCATAAGTGGTCGAAGCAGCTCTCAAAATGTGAGGTGCATTTAAATCTCTTAATATACCTCTTTTTCTCAATATTTAACGCACAATAAAACATCCTCTATTTCAACAGGGTTTATCTAAAAAGGGTTTCTTTAATACGTATTTATTCTATAATATCTGTTCTTTATCTTAAACAATACGGGAGGTGTGCAGGATGCGGGGATCGAGCAGAAGATACCAGGTGAAGAGGGGGGAGGCGGGGCTTAGACAGCAAACACAGTGAAGGGAAGAAAAAGGGGAGGATTTATGCAGCGGGATCGCACATCTCTTGCGCCCAGGTGGCGCTGGCGCGAGCGCGGCGCGAGGCGCTCGGGGGGCCGCGAGGCGGCGTGCGGGGAGAGCTCAACTGACCCATCCGGCGAGGCCGCCTTCCGTTGCCCGGAGACCACGTTCTCCAGGTAACACAGGGTCAGGCCGAGGGGTGCGGCCAGAATCAGGGCCAACACCAGGGACTGGCTGGCCGTGAGCATCACGGCCAATAGGAAGACGACCAGGAGGCAGGGCAGGAACAGAGGGGAGGGGTTCAGCAGGTAGCGCTGTACTGACGGGCGCAGGCGGGTGCTGGCGAGAGAGGCGCGAGACGGGACGGACAACAAATAAGAGGGCAGGGAAGAGACGTGGGCGAAGGAAGAGACGACCGGGGGACGGGTGACGGAGGACATCGCGGCCAGCCGGAGCCGCGCCGGGCGCCAGGCGACCGCGGGAACCAGACTCATGAGTTTAGCGGGCAGGTAGGTCGCGATAAATGCCACGAGACGAGTCCATTTCAACGCCAGGCTGTCAAAAACGTGACGTAATCTGGGCGCCGCGGTGCGTTCGGGGGCTCTGAGCGGCGCCGCTGACTTGAAGGTGAGCCGGCGGGCAAAAAGCCTCAGTCTCTTGGTCAGTCCCGATAGCAGCTTAGTGGGCGCACAGCCGTTCCCGTCCCGGCCCCAAACGGAGAGGAAACACAGCACGAAGGAGACGTATTTAGCCACGCCCCTCAGGGAGAACCAGCTCCACCAATTGGGCGATGCGGCCGTCGCTCCGGTGCCCGCCGGGCGGCCCGGCCCTGCGTCGGAAACCTCGGCGACGCGCGTTTCGGGGCCAGCGGTCGGAGGCGTGGCCGGGGGGGTCTGCGCAAGGCGTTGGAGGTCAGCCGACTGCTGCTCGGGGAAAAGGGGGACGGTGTTCGAGGGGAGTGCCCACGGCGCGCGGGGGGAGGCGGGGTCTCCGAGGTCGTCGTCTTCCGAGATGTCCGACAGGCCGCGGTCGAGCTCGGAGATGGTGTCGAGGGAAGGGGGGAGGGAGGAGAGGGAGGACGAGGAGGAGAAGGATAGAGGGAACATGAAGATGGACTGATGGGGGGGGAGAGAGGGGGAGGATGCAACAACAAAAAGGAGAGACCCGTGCACACGTTTCCACAAAGTGAGGCAGCGAGCAGTCAATCAAAATCATCATTTCATGTTTGTTTTTTTTCCCATGAAGTGAGGACGAGCAAGAGGGACGTGATAAAAGCAACAAAACGAATGTGAATGAATAAAGAGAGGGGGAAAGAGACAAAAACATTAGTCAGTGAACAACACACAGGTTAAAAGTGAACACAGCAGGGTGGCAGGGCAGCAGCACCGGCC